TATATACTCTGCGTGACTTTCAAAACGGAATGTCGCGCACCAAGAGTCCCTGCAACAACGAAACCCGTAGTAACGTCGATGCGCGATATTAGGCTCATCCAATGAGAGAGCACGATTTTTGGAAAGCGAAAAGTCGCCAGGCAGCGTTTTCTCCTATTGGGTGCCGAGTTGTCGGCGTCAATGCAGAGCCGCCCAATGCAGCCAACGGAAGAGCCACATCGCCGCCGCCGCCGCCGCCGACGTCCGGCGCGCACGAATGTCAGGTGGTCGGAGTGGCGTTCGCGACTGAACAGCGGCGGAAAGAGCGAGAGAAAGAGGGAGCGGGCGGCGATGCGTTGGCCTGACCGCGGAGAGAGAGGAGAGCTCGCTTCGAATAGTGAACGGCCATATTGGCTGAGCGCAGTGTTTGTTTTGCGGTGGCAGCGCGCGTTAGTTGCGCGTACTCTCGATCATAGTCCGTCCGGATCGTTATCAGCGGGGTACGCCCGTGAACGTCGCCCTTGCCGGCAATCCTGTCGCGTGGCTCGCACGCGTGTCGCACGCCGTCATCGTACGTTCTCTCGCTCAGGCGCCGCTCCCCCGTGTTTCCCCCCTGACTCGGAACCATCGTCTCCATCGCTCTCTCCTACGACCGTCGGTCCTTCTCTTTCCACCCCCGCGCCCCGTCCGCCCCCGGGCCACGGCCCGTGCGACTGACTGTCGAGTATCAGTCGTACACGGGACACGGTGGGCTTAAGAGTGCCACACCACTAACGCCACCAACGCCATGGCGTGCGCTACACTCAAGAGGTCCTTGGAGTTCGACCCGGTGCACAGCCACGGCCGGCCGAGCAAGCGACGAAGATGCGTGCCGATGTGCGCGGTATCGCCCGGCGGCTCCGCCGTCGTCGCCTCGTCGTCGTCCCGTGGTGGTTCGCTGCCGCAGGACTCTGCGTTCGGTGAGATAGCCAACAAATTGACGCCTGGTAATTACCGCAGGCCACGGCCATTTTCTCTCTCGTTCTCTATCGCTCCTCGTCATTCCTCTCTGTCTGCCAGTATCTTTCTGGCTCTCTCTCTCTTTCTGTTTCTCTCGCTTTCTTTCTCTCGCTCTTCTCTCTGCTTCCCCCCTTCCTCTGCGCACACGCACACCTTTTCTTACTTAGAGCGAGATGGAGAGCACGATAAAGGTGGTGAAGGAGAGAGAGAAATGGAGAGACGTCTAGAAGGGGCGGTTTAAGATCCAGCGATTTAAAACCCGTATTCAGGCGACCCCAAGGGAGGGGGAGGGGCACGCGTAAATCATATGGTAATGTGGTAACGGACATTCCTCCCTGGAGAATTCGGACTCTCTTTCGTCTTCTCTTTCCCTTCTTATTTATCGTATGCAAACGGAAGCGCGCTGCCTACGTCGTCGAGGATGCGCAACATCGGGTAATGCATATAACGCCGCGGATTTCCTACTTTTCAGCACGTGGCGAGACTGTCATGCACAGTGACAGGGCATTTGGGTATCGCTGCATGATTAGACATGACATCTTATTCATTTCTTTTTTTTTTTTATTTTCGTAATTATTACCACAAACACATACGATAGACTCAACATACCTTGTACTTTCGTACGAAATAACAGTTTGGCAGAACCGAGTGAGAGGCAAAACACACATCGGGGAATGTCTGTTCTTTGCTGCGCGCGCACTCTTGACAACAATGGCCGACTATTGTTGATCTGAGTGCATGTCGTGGACATTGAAATCAGAAAAGTGGAACGTGTGCTATAATTATTGTCTATCAGATCTTTTAGACAAACGCTCGCAATATCCGCAACGTGTGAAGTGCTTAAAAATAATACAAAGATGTGTGATGCATGCGGTTATCGGAAAACAGCCGGTGAAGGAGTATTTTCGCATGTAAGTAAAGCATGGCGAACTAAGTCGCTATTTGCGACATGTATGTAAATTCTAACGCACGTTTAGCATAACGCATTTATCAATATAATGTATCGCCTGTAGATATGTGCGCTTATGCGCATTTCTTATTCTCGTAAATCTGCGCCAATGGCTGTCAACGGACGATTGCGCATACGACCTGCGCAGATAAGGAACGAAAACTTCCCCCCGGTGTTTTGCCTCTCTCTGTCTCTTTTTCTCTCTCTGTTCTGCGAAGACTCGTATATGCTGAGTCTATCATATATATCTATGGTTATTACACGCACCGGAAATGGCCTTTAATTTTTCGCATTCAAGGTACAAACAGACGATTAGGAACTGTCATCTTGTTCAAAAAGCGTTGAAATTTCTTTCGTTGGTTTTATTATACTACTGACAAAAAAAAATGAACAAACATTTTATTTATCTAAATATGTCAAGGTAGAAAAAGCAAATTTTAGATGTATCACACCATATATTTTCTCATATAATTATGAGCATACTTATAAGTATATTTGTATGATACATACATAATTATACTTTAATTAAATTTATTTAGTATCTTATTATGATAGTATCTGTGCTTGAGAGACAAAAAAAGGGAGAAAATATAATGACTAAGATATTTTACTCAAAAAGAAATCAACTTATTCATATATTTATAGGTTACCACAAGTATGTAAATTTCCACAAAGTGAGTGATGAAAAATTAAAATATTTTATGATTAACTTATTTAATGATTTTTTTACTTTGTATCATTCTTATCATTGTTATTTTATCCATCTTTCATTGTTACAAGACTTTATTGCATGTATAAAGTAAGGGAACAAAACTTGAAGTTTTTTTAAAAATTATTGGTTTTTGTATATACATTATTTCAATATTGTACACATGAGATATATATTTTGAAATATATATGTATTCTTTTAAATAATATTATTGTATCTGTTTATGCAGAAAAGATGGCTGCCAACATCAGAGAAGAAATCCGCAGAATGCAACGGCGTAAGCAGTTGCAATATCACTCACAGACAAGCAGCGGTGATTCATCTGACACAGAGGCTCCTTCAGCTGCCTCTTCTACAACTCCTTTTAGTCATAATTCTAGTGGCAAGGAAAAATTTGAAAAACCCCTCTTCACATTTAGACAGGTAGAGTATAAGTCGGTTGCATCTTCCAGGAGAGAAATATGATAACATCTTATTTGTTACTTTTTTGACATTACTTTCGACAAAAAATGGGTTTATGTTTACGAGAAATGAACATTGGTCTTGCAGATTGGCTTATAGGTTGATTTTACAGGTTGGCTTGATCTGTGAACGAATGCTCAAAGAGCAAGAAACGCAAATTCGAGAAGAATACGATAAGATCTTACATCTAAAGCTTTCCGAGCAGTACGACGCGTTTGTTAAATTCACATACGATCAAATACAAAAGAAATTCGAGTCTGCAGCTGCACCGAGTTGTAAGTACATTTATTTCCTAAAAATATATATAAATTTAGAGTAACACTTCTACTTCTAGCTCTCTCGTTCTTATTGTCACCTCGCAATTTCTTTTATTCTCAGATCTATCATAAGAAAGGATTCTTATTTATAAGAAGATACTTCTGTGAGGAATATTAGGTAAGTGCCGGCTTATAAACACAAATTTCCTTACTTTTTAATGAAAATATGAAATCTCGGAGTAACGAGATACTACCAGAGAGATTCTCTCCGAATCTCTCTTTTCTTTTTTTCGATAAGCATTGCAATATTTTGTCATGTTTTAGATTTATACTGTGTGAAACAAATTTCGCTTGACGTTTGCTGCCAGAGTTTGCAGCACAGCCTCGTTTCGGAAATCACCTCTAAAAATGATAAAAATTGTTTCAGCCAAGTGTCCTGTAAAAAGAAATGAAAAAGAACTAAAAATGGCGACTAGCGACGTAAGTTCGTAGAGAAGAGAGAGAAAGAGAGAGAAAAAGTTTGTTTGCGTGTGCTCTGTATGTGTGTGTTGTATGAGTGTACGATTTGCGTGTGTCGCGGCGAACTGCAAACATAACTACGAGAATCTACCTAATGTATACCTTCGAGACTAACACAACTATTTGTACTGTTCGACATTAGAAGTGCGCTGGTATCAGGGAACTGTACTAGGAATTCTACTTATGTACAAATATTATTATTTCGGTTGAAAAGTATGACACGTGTATACAGTGCAAGACTATAGTACGAGAGAAGACAATGTTGGCGTGAAAAATGTGGGTGCACATTAACGTTGCACATTCAAAATCTTAATTCGTCAATCGCGAAACACATTTCGTGCACACTTGGTGCTTCACGAAGGTCCGAGATCCTTCGGTGAAAGCGGAGAGTGCAAGAGAGATATATATCTTCCCAACTTGTGTCACGAACGTCTGTATTTTTCTCTTAGCTCGCTTTTCGGGACAGTCGTGAAAACGAAGTTCGAGACACCTCGTGCATATTTCGATGATTGGGGCATTGTGTGTTTCGGACGCTAATTAAAGTAGCTGCTTCGGTTGCTGCGACAATTTAGATATATTGCTCAAATATGCACGGCAACAACCAGTGCTTTCAACATATGGAGCGCGCGTGACACAGCATGTGACGCACTCGTGACGATATTTCGAGCAAGAGAAGATAAACGTACGTGCACGATTGAGAAGAGAGAGATTGCCTTTCTCGAAGTCTAACTGGCTCGACGAAGAGCGAGACAAACATGTTTAAGATTCGATTTAAGATTATACAAAATTAGCTGATCGGATCGCTCTTGTTTTATGGATTATTTGTAAGATGTAATACGAAAGTTATGATACATATTTAGCGTAACATGTAGCGTAACTTGTTAATAAACGGCCGATGAATTCGTTTCGACTGGGTTTGCGTGGCAACGAATTCATTTCGAGTTGTGTCGAAGAAATTTTTTTGTTTTAGCAATAATCGCGATATATACCTTCATGAATCCACGCAAATGTACGATTAATTGTAAAATTGCTATTTGTCACCATTTACAAGTGATTTTCTGTTTTGCAAATCGCTGGAAATTCTTTGTAATGGAAAAGAAAAAAAAAGGATCTCATTTAAGGTATAAACGCGTCGAACGAGCCGTATAAAAGCGTCGAGATAATAAGTAGGCTATAGTAGGCATTGTATGAAAGCATTGTGAAACGCATAAGTATTTGGAATAAAGATTTCATAAAATCTCGTCAGCATTTCTGTTCCCTGGTAGCAACGAATTTCTTTGTAGCGTAATGAAAAAAAAAACGTTGAATAACGAATACAACTATAATTTGTACTGTTTAACTGTGCCTGTTACTAGATACGTTTATCACGATTACTGTTATCATTTACTCTGTTATTGTCGTCGCAAAAATCTCTTTTTTTTTCCTAGTTCGTAATGTATTCTATGTTGTAATGCGTCATCCGTGCGATACATGTTCTTTTTCCTTTTCGTTTTCTTTTTTTACTTGAAGAAGATGCGATTCGCGACAGTGCGACTGAGAGTGAGATTATGATCTTGATGACTTGTACATTTTCACATTCTAGCGTTAGGATATTTGTTTTGCCGAAAATACAAAAGAAAGAAGCGCCAAGAGTTCCGCTGAGAGTTCTTGTTAGCTTTCAAGCCCGAAGTGATCTGCGATCGACTATGCCGATCGTCATGATCGAACAAACGATGTATGTATTCTCGTACGAATTCGAGGGGCATTCGAAGTACTATATACTGCCTTTTTCATATTACGCAAAAGAAGGAGGAAAAGTCTCAGTTACCATAATATTTTTGCGAGCATCGTACCGATGGTGTTCACACGTACATACGTATAATACACAGCAATATAAATAGAAAAAAAAGATATATATATATATGTATACACATGTTACATCGAGTGTCTGTCGACTAAATGAATGTGAAAACGGAACAAGAAATACAAAGAAATATAAGCAGGTTCGATTGTTGACGCTGAGAGAGAGTAATACTTAAAGCTCGATAAATGTTTTATTATTGACGAGTGATTATATAAAATACCTAAAAGCGACCGCTTGAAAATTCAGGGGATTTTATTTCGACTAATAAATACCTCCGTATTTTACATTGTATAAACACCTACTATCGAAATAAAGATAAGCTTAAGACTGAAGTGAATCCATTTATTCGTCTCGTTCAAATGAGAAAGCGCATCACCATCTTATTTCTTCTTTTTACGTATGAACGTTTGCATGTTGCGCGATCGTTGCAGATGACTTACTTTGCAGTTACCATGCAGCTTTTGCATGGGAGTACCACCGTTTTGCGAGGAAGAAAAGTACCTTCGAGTATTATAGCCGACATCATCGAGTGTTCGTGATTCACTGAGCGCAGCTACCAAGAGCGACACGCGACGATTCTTCGCGTCATAACTCACGCGCGCAATCCTCTTAAAATCAATTCTATAACGGTGTCTAATTCCATTAGAACGATACGGCTTCGAGGTGAGGAAGCCCCGCGACGAGACTATATAAAGATACGGTGCCACGCTGAGGACGTGTCACTTCTGGGCGGGAAACAAATTTCTGCTAAATCGCTCGTTCGTTTAAGAAACAGATAAAAAACCACCATATCCACAGCGCCAGATGTTCCCACTACTGTTCTCGGCCTACGTTGTAGCCGTTAAGGTATTCAAGAAGACCACTCCCAATGGTGAGTTGACTCGACGGTCCCGATACTTCTTGTCTTACCCCCTCGAATCATATTCCCGGTGATGTCACGTTCATATCACACATTATTTAGGCAAAGTTACGGTCTACCTGGGCAAGAGAGACTTCATCGACCATCTGGACCACACCGATGCCATCGATGGTGTGATCGTAGTGGAGAATGACTATCTTCAGGGTCGCAAGGTCTTCGGTCAGGTGGGTAAAGCTTCCAACGAAGCATCCCCAGTGAGCTGGAAATAAGTTGAGAAAATATAATCAAAACGATATTCAATATAGTGTGTAACATTCTCTTTTTTACGAAAAACCTTGCGCTTCAATTTTCATATTTCTAAATAGAGATGAAAATGACTTGATTTGACGGTAACTTGCTCAATAAATAGCGGTAAATTGTTTGGTAATTTTGGAAAGTTGGTAAAATGATATAATTTATGAAAAAATTACAGAAATAAGAAAATGTTAATATAAAGTTGAAGAGAAGCATTTAGCCTTTAAGATGAGTAAAATATTTAACTTATATTTTCCAGAAGATATTTTGATCTTAGGTGATGGTTAGATTAAGATATTTTGTATATTAATATACTATATATAGCAAATAGTAATTAAGAAATTGGATATATTGTAATTAGAAAAACTAAAAAAAAATTCGAATTTTCAAAATAAAAGTGTAGTCTTTATCTATATTTTTCATACCTTACAAAGGCTTATAGCACTTTCATTTATTATCTTCATATTCCGGTGACTAAAACATTTTTACAATATTTTAAAAAATCATATTATTCGAATATATTATTTTTTTAAGATATTATATATTAAGTAAGAACATTCTCATAAAATACGCATGCAATCAACATCCGAAGACGTTAATTTAACGTTCCTTGTTTATTGAGACCATTTCTTTGCTTAAAATGATGGATACAAAACTATAAAATTACATTGATTTAATCTAAATTTCAATGTAAATCAATCATCTTACTGATTCACACTGATTTAAAGTGAAATTTTTTAGTTAAACTTTATGTAATGTTATCGGTTTCGTATCCATCTTAAACAGCTCAGACAACATAATGTCTAAAATCGGGACATAAGACGTCTTAAAGATCATTTTTAAGGTGTCTTTCAGGCGATTTACGTATAAATGTCTTTAAGGTGTTTTAAAGATTATTTTTAAAACGTCTTATGTCTCGATTTTAGACATTATATTGTCAGGGAGGATTCTTTTTCTATCACATCTCGAAGTGTCCCTAAGAAGTGTTCAGCACTTATTACTTGCGACAAATGGCATCGTAACGTTGCACTGCATTCAGGTTTCGACAACTTACCGCTATGGCCGCGAGGAGGATGAAGTTATGGGAGTTAAGTTCAGCAAGGAGCTCGTGCTGTGCCGCGATCAGATTATACCATTGAAGAAGGAGAAACAAGAGACAACGTCAATTCAGGATCGCTTGCTGAAGCGTCTGGGTGCGAACGCATACCCTTTTACCTTTCACTTCCCGCAGAATGCTCCTTGTTCGGTCACCCTGCAACCCGGTGATGATGATCAGGGAAAACCCTTGGGAGTCGAGTACACCGTGAAAGTGTTCGTTGGAGACAATGAGGAGGACAAGGTATTGAAACAGAGGAAGGGATACTCGATTAACAAATATATATTTCAGTATTATCTTACATAAGTATACACATTAATATTTCAATTGCAATTAAATTAAAATTGAGAAATGTAATTATATAATTTTATATAAAAAAATTAATTTATAAAATTCGAAAATTAAAATTTAATTAAAATTGAAAATTTTGTCTTTCTCTTTTATCAGGGACACAAAAGATCCTCTTTAGCGCTGGCCATCAAGAAGCTACAGTTCGCCCCGCCGACGCGAGGCCGTAGGCTTCCCAGCTCTTTGATTTCCAAGGGATTCACCTTCTCCCAAGGCAAACTGAATCTGGAAGTCACGTTGGACCGCGAGATCTACTATCACGGCGAGAAAGTGGCAGCGAATGTCATAGTGACGAACAACTCGCGCAAGGCGGTGAAGAACATCAAGGTACGCAGTTAAATTAGGTAAATTTTTACCTTCATACTTGTGGTCGTTCCTTCTGTACAGATGTATGTGGTGCAACACTGCGAGGTAACTATGGTGAATGCCCAATTTTCACGGCACGTGGCTAGCTTGGAGACCCGCGAGGGTTGCCCGATCACACCTGGCGCGTCCTTTACGAAGCAGTTTTATCTTGTGCCGTTGGCCAGCAGCAACAAGGATCGGCGCGGCATCGCTCTCGACGGACATCTCAAAGTACGCGATACAACAGCACAACATAATTCTTTACGTCATTCCGACAAAATCGTGGTGCTGAAATAAGAAAACAATATCATATAGCATTCAATTAAATATGTATATTCAGATCGCTATAACAGATTACGCTACTACAACGAAATTTAGACCGTTGTAACATTACAATAAACCCATCAACATGTAGAAAGTCATCTTCAGCTCATTGTTCACACAACGATCGATCTTTAGATTTCATTTTCTCGTTTCCCTTGCAGGATGACGATGTAAATCTGGCATCCTCCACTCTGGTCGCTGAGGGCAAGTGTCCAGCTGAGAACTTGGGTATCGTGATCTCCTACTCCGTCCGAGTGAAATTAAACTGCGGTACTCTCGGTGGCGAACTGACCACCGATGTTCCGTTCAAACTGATGCATCCAGCTCCTGGTATGTCTAAGATATTGTTTGACGCGTCTATATCACTAGTATGCATACGTGAACGTGGGAACATGTTGGCTGCACATTACTCTGTATTATTATCATTAATTTTTATCATATTGGGCAAAACATCTTCTTTTCTTTCATTTGCAATTTAGATTTGCGTAAACCTCTTCACTTTGTGTAGGTGCCATCGAGAAAGAGAGGGCCATGCTGAAGAAGACCAAGAGCATGGAGAGAGCGCGATACGAGAACTCTTGCTACGCGAACGATGACGACGACAATATCGTATTCGAAGATTTCGCTCGTTTGCGCTTGAACGAACCAGAGTAAACCGCTAGAGCTTCCTAGCGAACGATCGATCACTAATCAAAAGAATCCTGAACTTTTCGCGCGGAACTTGTAACGGATTATTCCTCGCGCACATTCAAAATTACATCTTATCTCCATTCGAATGGTGATGTTGAGATCAAAAAGGATATCGGACTATAACGGTGAAATATGTATTCAGGATTCTTTTGACGTGGTTCTTAATGAACGAGCTATATTAAAAAGAACGTAGATGATAAAAATGGTAACAAGATTAGTTACATTATATTATGAAACTATTAATGAGAAAGCAACAATACAAGAAAAATACAAAAAAAGCGAAAATACAACTAAACATTTAAAAAGTCGTCTTGAAATTTCCGTGCGATGGTGGTGGTCGAACGGAAATTGATTGCAAGGCGAACTAAAAAAATGAGAAAGAAAAAGCAGATGATATCAAATAAGCTTAATTCGCATTTGGTTGAGTTTCAAAAATTTCCCGTCTCACCAGAAGTGACATATATGTATTTCTTTTAAATTAATTTATGTTTACGAGACTCTCGTTCTGATCGTTTATTTATTATTAAAGAACTGTTAATTCATGGTACTGTTCAGTTGCGATTGCGTTAGAAAGAAAATATATATATGTATGAAACTGTGAAAATGCACCTTATTTCTTCACGAACATTGATCTTTTCGACGTGAACGTAGCGAGGAAGATAAATGCGCCACACTGTGATTTTTAACACGAGAATGATGCACGAAACGATAAATTATCTCTTCATCGCCACGTTACTCGTGATAACATGTAAACATTCCGAAAATTAGATATATTTCATATAACTATACAAAATATTACAAGGAGCAAAGGTTTCAAATCGATCAGTCTTATGCATACGACGACGCATACTGTTCCTCACGCCCTTAGTCATAGATGTGCGAGTAATATTCCTGATACGTCTGGATGTAAGCCTCCTTCTCCATGGGCGTCATTTGTGCAATTAAAGTATCATTGACGTCGGTAATCGCAACGGTCTTGCCCGCGACACTGACAGTCGGCACGAGCTCATCGTCTTCCGATTCCATCATCTCCACCTCGCCTGCAAATAATTAGTCGTAATTTTATGAAGTATTAACTATAAAATAATAGCGATTGACAACATGGAAAAGGCCGTGCTAATTAAAGTTTAAATCTGGCTCATTGATTATTAATTTTCTCCACGATCTTGCTCATAAATATGAAAAATAATCAGTTTTTACTATTATTTTTAAAAAAACTTAGATCTCGTAAATGTATTTATATACAGAGTGTCCCATTTTAATAATATACTTGAAATATCTTGAAAACAGAATATTATAAAACGAAATGTGTCAAACAAAAGTTGTATAGTTTCAAGGACGGAAGAAGATGGTAATAATATTCATTTAATTTAGAAGTGAACTTGAAAAGATCTGTCAAGATTAACTTTAATTTAAATGGAATCATATGGTTTTTCTATATAACACAAATCTATTCCGATCACAGATACCATGTATATAAAATTTCGAGATAAAACCATCGAAAAGTGAATACTCTCTCTTCCTGAGATATTTTTCATTTTATTCTAACACTTTAATATAAGTCGAATATTAGTATAAGACATGAAATATCTTAAATATTCACTTTCCGAGTTTTGTATTGATTAATAATCCAGGATACACGTAGTCCTCTAAATATATTCATAATTTTTTATCTTCTATTTTCTGTGACATTATTATCATGTCAATTGCGTTTAATCATTACTTAGTTATACTAAATTTTAAAATCCTCTAGTACTAGCGGAATTTACGCTACTTGATACATTTTTCATACCTGCATCAACGGTCTGCATCTCTGACATTTCCTCGTTATCGCTGCTATCACTGGAATCCTGAGGAAGTGCAGCTTTGATGGCTGTCATAGAATTAGGGCCACTCTTTTTCTCGTGAGCTAACAACACCGACATGATATCATCACCCTGTTTGTTGTTCGTGATTACATTCGTGGCAGTAGCTGCAGCTTTGTCTAAGATGCTGTCCTGTGTACTCACGCCGTCAGGCTGTGAAACAGTCACACGGAATTGAGACATGGGTGAACCAGGTTGTAAAAAGTTATAAAAAAATTCGTAGCATCACCCATTATCCATTGAAAAAACAATTATCATTTTGATATATACTTTGAAATTCATTTGTTTATATTTCAGATAATAATCGCTATCATTATTCATGTAATCTGCATGTACAAAGTAACGATAAATATAACGATTATATTCCTTATCGTTATTTAAAAAATATAAATACGTTTAATATAAATTACCGTTTTTTTTTTATTACTTTAAAACTTTAAAACTTTAAGTAGTTTTAGTTACTTGAAAACAAAAAATAATTTATAATGATAATGACATTACCATTATTATTATGCCGTTATTTTACCAGGTATTTGGTTAATCCAACCAAATTCCTCTTCCATGCGAAATAACTAAAATAAACTGATGAGAAAATAAACTAATGGAGCATATAAATCTACCTGAGAACCATCGGCATTGATAACTGTGCTTTCCATCATCCATATGGGTCTCTCCTTTCTATGATTCGCTGCGTTATCATCGGGGGATTCGTCTCCGATAGTGACATCCACTCTGGTATCCTCCACCGCAAAGCCTGATGTTCTAGTAGCTTCACCTGACCAGTGTTCGCCAGGTGTACGAAGAATGACTGGTTTTCTCGTGTCGATACTAATAGAAATTATTATTAAAAGATAACAATTATTGATATATAAGGGAGCTAATTATATATAATATATAATAACTAAAAAATCAAATGTAGCCATTTGTAAAATAAGAATTTTTTTTTGTTCAATTTAACCTAATGTACGCGAGACATGGGACGTTTAGTGTCAGACATCCTATGTAATATGAATATTATTTAAAAACATATACCCGCGAATGGTGTTGATATCAACAGGTTCTGGTTCCAGTATCTCGGGCGCTAATTTAATTCCTTCTACTTCCCTTAATAGTATGTAAAGTGGCTCCAATTGTTCGTTAAACTTTGCTAGTAACAATCTAGAATCTTTCTTCGGTAGAGCAGATTGATCCTCCTCCACCACTTCTCGACAATACGTACATCTAAACTCACCGGTTGTCATGTCAAAAAGCTGATCCGCCTGCATAGGATTTAATAAAGTTTAACATGTTAGTTATCAGCTTCAGATCAATGTCATAACAATATCAACATATCATATAATTATTTCAATCTGCCTGTATTGTCACTTCAACTGTAATGAACATATACAGCAACAGTGAAAACTCATTCTTCCTATGTTTAATTACTCTTCTTTTATTATAATACTTGAAGTTGTATTATCTCAAAATAATATCTCAAAAATAATGTAAAATTTTTGAAAGAATTAGAAATTGATCTATACTGCATCTAAAAGTGATCATAAACAATTTAGCATTGAAATTAGAATTTGGATAAAAAGTTATTGCACTTTGAAGTGTAAATCCAACAAATATAATGATGTTTTAACAACATATTAATGACGTCTTTAACATCAACAATACAATTAATACATTATTTGATATCATTCTGTTACTTGGGAATATTTTAAATTATACTGTTGTTGAAATACATGATTTTGCTATTTTTAGTAAAGGAAAAGATGATTAAATAATAATGACAACTAAATAATAATTAATTAGTAAAAATTAATGATAAATAATTAAATTAAGATAATAAACAAAATAATTACAGAAATCACAATTTTTATATACATGTACTTTAGTTATTTAAAATAATATATGCAAAGTTTAATCATACTTCAAAAGAGATAAAAGTTTAAAAACCAGAAATAATAAAAAATTAATAAATTATAAAAATGTGATATTAAAGTAAAAATATGTTGTTTTTCAACTGTATTATATGTGTGTATGTGTGTGTACATGGTGTGTGTACATGTGTGTGCGTGTAAAATTTAATTTTTGCAGAGATTATACAAGCAATTTATCACTTATCAATTATATTGTTATACTTGCTTCAAGATCAGTGAATGTTTTTAAGCAATTTGTACATTTAAAACTAGCCCTGCTAGTTGCATCTCTCTCTTCAGTTTCCATTCTCTTTCTCATTAAATCCAGTTTATATTTCACAACATTTACAAATGTCTAAAATCAAGATATATAAGTTTGCATTAATTATTTTCTATCTTATTTTCAGTCAGATCTAAGAAAATGACAGTTATTCTATACTTACTTTGTAATTGATAAAATAATAGTTAACTTTCTGTGCTTTGCCATCAGATCCTGTCTCCATTTTTAATCTCACTTGAATAAATTTGTCATTGCGTAATGTAGATATTCTAGCTCTCAACATCTTACGTTCAAACTTCAACAATTCACAAATATCATCTTCTTTCATACCTATCAAAAATGTACATTTTACATAAAAAGATGAAATTATTCTAGTTAATTTTATACAAATATATTTATTGCATAATTACTTACATGGATTTCTAACTAACATATCCACGATTAATGCATCCTCTATAGTGTAAAATCCACGGACAACAAGACGAGCTAGCTGTTTTAAGCTACTAGGAACCTCAGTAACAAGCCTCTCTTCAGCACTCATGTTTTACGCGATTGTAATAATTTTTTACTAACCGATATTGTTTTGAAATAGGTAGTAATATTAATAATAGTTTATCAATAATGCTATTATTATATCATGCAAAGTTAACAAAATCAAGCGAAGTCATAATCGCACGTTGTGTTTTAAAATTTAAATCGTTCTAATTATATTATTATTGTTATTATATCGTTTTTATTGCCACTATTAAACTTATATGCACTTGTTTCTTTGAAAAATTGAAAAAAAATAATCTATTAAAAATATCGGTAACGTGAACAAAAAATACTAACCTTAAAAATATCCCAAATAAACTGTATTATCAAAATATTACAAATATCAACGTAATAAATGTAGTAAATGAGTATACATATTAATTATTAGCGTAAGATTTCACGAATAGGTGAAACAAATCATTTTTATTATTAACTTAAGTTATTAAGAGCACGCTCTGCGGTTAGCAGCTTGTTTACTATCGCAGTTGGTTTGAGGTTATGTATCCTAATATGAAATAAGGTTGCGTTCCGGAATTCACCGTCAGTGCTGAAATCCTATATGTAGTGTACGTTATGGCTCCTGCACACAGGAGGTCCGCGGAAGTCCGTGCGACAGCCAATCAATATGTTGTTTTTCTGTAAGAGCTAAAAGGTTATTACGGAAAGCAGCATATTGATTGGCTGCCGCGCGGCAGAAGTCCACGCGACAGCCAATCAATATGTTGCTTTTCCGTAAGAGCTAGAAGGTTATTACGGAAAGCAATATATTGATTAGCTGTTGCGCGAACTTCCGCCGCGCGGCAAGCATTACCGCGTCTTGTGTGCAGAAGCCATTAGGGTAGGATCCAATTGACCACGATACGATTGAACACAAATTGTAATGATTGGTTCGACCTGGTAATTCACTAGATAATTCTTTACATTGGTTGGTTGTGTTCAATCGTACAGTGGTCATTCGGCACGCTCTCCTTTATAACTATACTTTCTAAACTATTTTGTGATCTGTTCTTTTCAGCTGCACTGTTGAACTGGTGCAATAAGTTAAGCCAGTGGCACACGATGCTTAACGATGTCCACAATTGGACACAACCAACCGATGCAAAGAATTATCTAGTGAATTATCAGGTCGAACCAATCATTATAAGGGTGTATATCAGTTGGACACGGGGCAATTGGACACAGTTCAATCACAAGTCGTTGTTCCAAGGGGCCCTACAAATGTCTCTAAGTACACGGTGCTGTGATTGGCTGTGTCCAAATGCACCGTGTCCAAGTGCATCGCTCCCTCATTATAATCTATGTCCAATTGTACCATGGTCAATCGGGTCCATCCGTTATAAGGCAGGATCTATTTGGCGCTATAAACACTTCAAAGCGCCGTATAGACCAATCACAATCTTATTTCACATGTTCCAAAGCGTTTTGTAGCCCCAAACGGATCTTACCCATGAAAAATACAAACCCTTTCAGTCAAGCATCAAAATTTCCGCAAGTATAATTCCTAAAGTCACATGAAATTTAAAATAGCTTACTAATGGCAGCGATTGATAAAGTCAAAATTATCGTAGTGGGTGATTCTGGTAAATATAAAAGTTTTAATACTTGCACTATACATATGTTTAGGTTATGTATAATTAATATTTTTCACATTAATAAACATGCTTGAAAAATCGAACTATTGATATGAATTATTTACACACAGGCGTTGGTAAAACATCTTTGACGCATTTGATATGCCAACAGCAACCTATCAGCAATCCTTCTTGGACAGTAGGTTGTTCAGTGGAGGTCAAGTTACACGAGTATAAAGAAGGAACTCCTAATCAGAGACGATATTTTATTGAACTATGGGACGTTGGTGGTAGTCAAAGCCATAAAAATACGAGATCCGTGTTTTACAATCCTACAAATGGTATGTATGTATCATATTGAAATAGATATGGTACTAAGCATTTATGTTTATATTTTACACTTGAAGCTATGACAGAATCTAACAATGATTGCAAATATATGTTGTCCACCAGGTATAATATTGGTACACGATTTAACGAACCGTAAGTCGCAACAGAACTTGCAGAAATGGCTGGAGGAGGTTTTAAACAAAGATGGGACTTTCTCCAGGTCTCGATCATTTGATGACTTTGATCCTGAGAAGTTTGTGGGCTCAACTCATGTAAAGATCTTTCAAATTATCAAGTTGCAGTGTTACACAATTTTGTGTATATGAGTATTGTATATATAATAAATATATGGATAATATTAGAGTTGAAAAAAATAGCTTTGCAACTGGTGTAAAGTTTCCTTTTCCAGTATACTAGAGAGTAGTATTCAATAAGCACAAATGCTGAGAAACTGTAATTCTCAAAACACTCAGCAGAATCTTTCAAGTGTTGACGAAGTAGCATTGATTTTTACTGAATGCAGTTGTTTGTTTCCAGATTCCAATTTTAGTGGTTGGTACAAAGCTCGACTTGATTCCAGAAGTGAAATCCAATGTGCATAGACGTTCTTCAACCATCGCGGAGGAATGTGGTGCCGACGAAATATTTTTGGTAAGTATTACCTGTAAAGTCTCTAAAAATACTTATTGCATGACTATATTTGAACGATCATTGTAACACATCCTTATTTTAATAGGACTGCCGTCAGATAAGATCTTTAGCAGCTGGTTCCAGTTCGTCCGTGAAGCTCAGCAGATTCTTTGACAGAGTCATTGAGAGACGCTATTATGCCTCTAGAGAAGGAATCAATCTTGACAAACGGAGACCGCCATTGTATTCTTCTTCAGTTTACACAAAGTTCTATCATAATGACTAAGCGACATATAAACGTCTTGACGGAGTATTATTCTGTTACATAAGACAATTCGGTTTTGCAATGTGACATCACCACAGAACTGTGCAAGTTAGTCACAAAGTAACGATCATGCATTTCTTTATCCACATTCCTGATCTTCTTACGGAAGTGTTTTGCCGAATGTGCTCAAGATATGACTGTGAACAAAGTAGCTAAAAACAAAACAAAAAGTAAATTTTATATATATAATTAAGAATTAATATTATACATAGTATATAAAAAATATATATTATATAAATTTATTATAAATAATATATTATAAATATATTACGAATATAAAGAAGTTTTCGAAAATTTTTTGTCAAATTCATAATTTATTTGTCCGAGATCAAAAACAGACTCAATAAGTGAAAATAATTGCTGTTGTGTTCAATCACGCTTTATTGGGTACGAATTCTGTTATAAAACTTGGATGTGGTAAAGTCATCGAGCTATTCAGTCAATGTTTCAATTTATATAGCTATCGTTTAGAAAATATATATTATTTTTTTCTGTTTAGATTATGATATAAAATTTATATATATATATATATATATATATATATTAGGTGAAGTAAAAAGTTCTGAGCGTTTTTTCGCTTTATTTCGACGATGAAATTAACATAGTTAGGATTATCCGATTTCGATCAAATATGCGCCGTTTTGTTCGATAACTTTTGTCCATTTTGAAGGCAATTTCATAATTCCGCGATTGAAGAAGTCCTCGTCCCTATTGGTAAAAAACTTGACCAGCTCATTTTCACAAGCCTCTCTTGAGGCCAGTTTTGTACCATCAAGAAAATTTTGCAAATGCTTGAAAAGGTGATAATCGCTTGGTGCCAAGTCTGGACTATACGGCGGGTGCAATAGAACCTCCCATCCAAGCTCTCGGAGCTTCTGGCGCGTCGTTAATGATGTGTGCGGCCTGGCGTTGTCTTGATGGAACACAACACTCTTCCTATTGGCCAATTCTGGCCGCTTCTGGTCGATCGCCTGCTTCAATCTGGTCAGTTGTTGACAGTAGAGGTCCGAATTGAGTGTTTGGCCCGATGGGAGCAGCTCATAGTGGATGATTCCTTTCCAATCCCACCAAACACACAGTAAAACCTTTTTGGCTGTTAATCCGGGCTTGGCGATCGTTTGGGCCGGCTCATCGCGATTGGACCACGATCTTTTTCGGCTGTTGTTCTCGTATGTGACCCATTTTTCATCACCAGTCACCATCCGCTTCAAAAATGGGTCGATTTCGTTACGTTTCAGCAAAGAATCGCAGGCATCAATTCGGTCCAAAAGGTTCTTTTGCGTCAATTCGTGTGGCACCCATACATCGAGCTTCTTCTTGAGACCAGCCTTATGCAAATGGTTCCAAACGGTTTTCTGGCTAATCTTCAGTTCCTGGGCAATGGAATAAGTGCTCACATGCCGGTCCGACTCGACGATTTCCATGATTTTATCGACATTTTCGACGATTGGCCTACCAGAGCGTGCCTCATCTTCGACGTCCATATTATCAGAACGAAATCGTTGGAACCACCGCTTTGCTGTTGCATTCGATACTGTATTGGGTCCATAAACAGCACAAATTTTTTTGGCCGCCTGCTCCGCCTTTTCACCTTGGTCGTAGTGGTACTGAAGAATGTATCGAATTTTCTCTTTTTTTACCTCCATTTTGGAACGCTGTAACACACAACTGGCTTGACCAAACACAAAACTGTCACAGAACTTTTTTTGAAGCGTAATGTCACCTTTAAATCGCCGTATAGTATGACCCGATGCGATGTATACATCGTGAGATATGGCTCACTAAAGACATCTAGCGGAAAACGCTCAGAACTTTTTACTTCACCTAATATT